GGTGTTCGGAGCTCCGAAGCAGAGGTAGTAGGGGGTGAGGTGGATTTTTCCATTCATTAAGCAACGGGGGGTAGATTGTATTTTTTTTTTTTTTTTTTTTTAGTTAAAACATTACGTTTCAACATTGTACATTATTTTTCAAATTTGTACCTTATTAAAAACAACATACAATGAAAAAAATGTTTATATAAAGAAATTTTGGGGGTGCTATCTTTCTCTTCAGCGGTGCATCAGCACGCCCAAAACTGGGCTGAACATATCTATGATTTACAGTGTACATCAATGGAGCACCAACCAATAACTCAGATTTACCATTCCTAATTGGGACCTCATCCCAACCTTCTGAGCAGGAAATTGGAATCTTGCCAACATGAGGACACAAGTCGTCCATTGCCTTCTCACAAGCTGCTCTTGCTTATGCCCGCCATAACACACATCTAGAGGTCTCAACACATTGGCGTTGTAACGATTAATCAATGCCCGACCCTTTTTTGACCAAAGATCTACTTTTCGGTCAACCGACCTCCCGCGATTGACCCGTTACCGCACACGCGCGCATATAAACGCACTTACACACGAATGCCCTGATGAGCAAAAACCATAACTGCCTCTAAGATGACACAAAGTTTGTGAAAATGAAATCACTGCCTACAATTCGTCGAGACCTGATGTGGAGGCATGGGACGCACTTTTTCAGCGTGTTAACGATCGTAGCTCACGTGTACCATTTTAAAATGCTTCTCTCGGCCCTCCAGATTCCCATTCTTTTCCCATGCCCTCAGTGAATTGTACATGACGCAAACTCTGAATGAGAATAATAACAATAAAAGACAGCTCACAACCTCCGGTGATGCAGGTCACGCGCCACGGTAGATTAAAGGTGACCTGTTTTTTTATTTTTATTTAGTTTTTTAAATACTTTTTGTGAAATTTAGACTGACGGGATGTTAAGGGTGCAGTGTGCACTAACACAAAAATATATCATATTAACACGCACACAGACACACAAATGTTTTGGGTTGGGGTTTTTTTTCCCTCTCTACACCCCTTGCGATCGACTTGGGACCAGTCCGCAAGCTAACAGTCGATCGCGATCGCCATATTGGGCAACCCTGGTTTAGAGATGTTGTTTAATTTGAAATTACCCAAATCACCAGTTGATCACGGTCGACTGGTAGTCTGCAGACTAGTGTAAGGGAAACTAAGAATAAATAAATCCATAAATAGATAAATACAGTTTGTGCATGATATTAGTAATCTATGTTTTTGCGTATTCAATGCACCTTAAGCATCCTACCAGTTTCACTTTCAGAAAAAGTTAAAAAATAAAATAAAATAAAGCAGGTCACCTTTAACCGAGAGCAGTGCATGACCTGCATCACCAGAAGTTGATAGCGGTCAGCAGTCAGAGCCATTAAGATATATCTATTTTTTGTTTATTCTCATTCAAAGTTTGTTTGATGTGCCATTTACAGATGCCATTGTAAAAAAAAAAAAAAAAGGAAATTTGCGGCGCTTGGAAAGCACTTTAAACGTGTTCTGGCACTTAACACGCTGCAAAAGTGCATCCCTGCCTCCCCGTCAAGTCTCCCACGAAGGGAGGAATTGGTTTCCTTTTCACAAACTCTTGTATCTACTATTTCTGTTTCGTTCATGTTAAGATCCATTTTGACTGTTGCTCATCATGACACGCGTGTGCGTTAGGGTGGTCCACATTTTCATGGCAAAAAAAAAAGTTTGTCAGATTCGTCGGGCCGGGTCGGAATTCTTGTCGATACTATGGTACAAGGTTCTGTGCAAAATTTCATTCCGATCTGATGATATTTTCCCGTCCCGCAAAGCGGCCAAAGTTTCCACCATAACAACTGGTCTCAATAGGGTGAACATGTGTATTTTAACCGTGTATTTTGCCATGCGTGACACTGGCTGGGCTGAATGTTGCCCGAACGATCCCCTCCTGACTAACTAACCATTCCATCGCTGCTCTCAGCAGCCGGAGACAAACTCAAACGCACGCCTAACACACAACGGTCACCTACTGGCGAGCTAATATCTTTCAATTGAAGTCGAGAATCGCCGGAATTCTTACTGGACGCTGAGCTGAGGACGCTTTTCG